CAAAATTGCTTCGCTCTGGAATACTAAACAAAACGTGCCACTGATATAACGTTTTCACAGCAATTATGTAGGTCAGGGCACTGAGTGTGAGGCGTCATTAAAGAAAAGTTGTGTCGAATAAAAATGTCATGCTTGATGCCTGATGTCAAAATAGTGGGCTCAGATGAGGTGATAGTATTTCCTACCCCATGTTCTGTACTTTCTGGGTTCGGAAATACCTCGCAGAAAAGAAAAAGGAGGCATAGATATGCCCTTTGTGTCTCAGCCATGAAATGGAGGGTAAGGGAAGCTGTGGCTGAGCATGTGCTCTTCACATGTTTCCCTGCCTATGAATTATTTATGAAGGTGCTGGGCACAATGGGTGGTAGAAGGCAAGAGGTGCATCAGCGACTGGCACAGTAATGACGGTGCCTGGGCTCATCTCAGATCGCCACTCTGATTGGTGACCTGACAGGAGTGGCAGGGGTTACTGATGCTTTGAACTGCTTGGCTATGAGAGCAGACACTTTGAGGTTTTTTTGGGGGGTAAAGTTACAGCATTTGATTTCAGATTTCTCTCTTTACCTGTCATTGCATTGGTGCTTCTCTCGCTGTAAATGATTAGCGCATTAGCAGCATGGTGAGGGGACTAACTTTTAGCTCCAGACCCCTCGTTAAAGCAGTGGAAATTATACCTGTGAGGCATAATTTATTGCACTAGCAGCTAATGAGTGGATGCTACAGTGGGAAGGTGACAGTAATAAGCATAGACTTTACACCATCTTAACACAGGTATTCTTAACTTATTAGTTTTTCAAAAGGCGCGAGGAGCTGGTTGCTGGAAAATTAATAGGTCCGTTGGTCTGTCGGTCTATTAATAAGTCTGATGTCTGTTTGGTAAATCTAACCCGACAGGTAGATTTTATTGGTCCATTGAGACTTCGAGGTACCTCCACCACAGAAAATATTCGTTTTACTTCCAGGTCAGTTAGGCTTGTTTTATAGGTTAATGAAGCTGATTTTTTGTCTACTTTTATATCTGCGTAAACAGATTCCTTTAACTTAGTATCGCAAATATTTTCAGTTAGTTTTATCATCTGATTACAGTGCATATACCCTTAGATCAGTAAGGGTAAGTCAGTGTTTTATTTACTTTTTATTCATTTAAAGCTTTACTTCCAAACCAAATTGTATCGGTGGTACTCAGAATTGGCTTGTTTTTTTTTCACTTCTGTATAGTAGTAGAGGATGTGAGTCCAGATGTTTCTGCATATTAATGAAGTCACTCAGAATCATCTTTCTGTGAACAGTGTCAAAATCAAAGCTACAGCAAACTGCTCACTTTAACCGAGGAGGGGGCAATCTGATGTATTAATTAAAAGTCACATTCTGCTGCCGTGACAACGTCAATATGTAATCTAGTAAAGAAGAGGCAAGCATAAATTCAGCTTTGCCAAATGGGCAAAACATGTTTAAAGATCAGTTTTTCAAAGATGTGAATTGATTTTTATGCTAGTCAATTTTTCATTTTCCCCCTCCCCTCCCATATTTCACAGCCTGCAACAGCTTGGTAAACAGTCATAAAGTATTAATGTTTTGTACCCAGCCCCAGGTTTCTCAGTCCAGACTACTGTCTCTTTTTTTTTTTTAAATATAAATGAAAGCACATTATGTCACAGTAGAAATAGAATTCCCTTCCCTCACACAGTTGACTGTTTCTTTTTTACATGCAACCTCTTTTATTGATTCGGGAGATTTGTAAGCACGGCGAAAATGAAGCATCACTCATTTTGACGTAAGCTCTATGAACACAAAGAAATTTACTTAAGGCAGTTGTGTAAATCTTTATTGCTATATATTTGGCGAGATGGCTCGTGCACCAAATGCAGCGACCATTATGTCCTTTTCTCCTTCTGGTTTTGTCTCCAGTGACGGCCTGGAGTCTCTAAACAAACCAAACACATACGTAGCTCCACACCTGGGGGGCAAAAATCCACTTTTGGCCCAGAATTCCTTCCCCCTCCATGTCTGTGGGGCATTTTAACACCAGACTAGAGTTGTCCAAACGATAATTGCTTCTGAAAGGTTGATTTCTGGCTATATCAGAGGGGGCAACTCTGCTCTCAGTGTAGAGCGAGATTAGCGGTGGATCTTCAGGATTTATCACTCGAGGCGTACGGATTAGCTCTGCGATGAAGTTTAAAACCGAATCACTGGTGACCACATCGTTTTAAAGAAGTAAGACCAGCTTATATCAGCTCAGGCTATTATCAGAAGAAGAAAGGGGAGCTAATCAGCTTTTTTAATGGGAATTACGCTTCAAAAGGATTATATCAAGAAAATTAGCCAAACAACAGCAGTGCTTTGATGGTAATAAAAAAAATAGTTTAAAGTTAAAAAACATTTTTTAACAACCAAATCTGCAACCAAAATGTGGATGTTGTTGTTTATGTATTTTATTTATTTCTAGCCCCGCCGTTAATTCTAAAGAGGCTGCAGAAACTAAACCACAGTTTTAATGGTATTTTGGTGGACACTGGATTTAATTAAATCACAACTCCATCTGCCCTAGTGCATGTCAATAGAAATCACACCATAGTAATTTAGAGGGAAAATTAAATGAGGTTTGCTCTCTAATGTGCGCAGTTAGAGGCATGTCTGTGTTCTCCGAGGCCCACTACCTTACCCACAATGTATGGATAATAGGTTTAGCTGACTAGATATGCTGCGATTACAGGTTTATCTTTGATGGAGGGTGTATTTTATGGCATTAGAGGGGGCCAGACAACAGAATGAATCCTCGCCCAGATGTCTGTAAATAAGACTCTTTGCATTTTAAGCCTGAAAAGGAGCACGGCTTCAATATTTTGTGTCATTAATCATTAAAAGGAAATCTGCGATTGTGGCATCTCCCCGTAATCCGTGAGGCAGGAGATGGATTTCTGTAAAGCTAAGATTCATTCACTTTTGGCAATGCTGATCGGTTTACCTCTTGAAATGGTGTTCAACTATTGTATTTTCTGGAAACAAATGCATCTTTCCTGGTGATTTGAATCATAAGGTTTTGTGTAAGGTGTTTTTTCTTTTTATTTCTCTTTTTTGACCGGGCAAACTGGGTTTTTACAGGAAGATGGTTTCTGTAGGAAGGTTAAAAAAATAATCCCTTAGATAAACTGATCTTGCTGCTGCAGGAAAGCGTGGTTTGAATCATAGCTGCAGTTTAAACCAGCTCCGACAAATTGGATGAGAAAATGAAATATTTAGAGATGGATTGGGCTGTCTGTCAGTCGGCCACAGGAACCTGCATTGTCGGATAATGTTTACACACTCCACTGACATAAGATTAAACAGGAAGGTCCCATTAGTTTTTTTGGTTTTCTTTTCCATTGTTGTTTTTCTTTTGCCGGTGTAAACAACTTTCTGTGTAGCCTGTGGAGTGACCATTGAAAATGGTCTGCCAATACCGAGCACAAGTAGGTATTATTACGGGGAATGATCTGTCAATAAGACTCCATCTCGTGAGTCCAAATGTCTGGAGTGTGTTGGCCACATCTCGGTGATAACTCAAGCATAATTGACAGAGCCTGTGCCTCCTGGGGCACAGGAGAGCGACAGAGCGAGAATGGAGATTAAGGAAAGAAGCGAACGAAGGTGAGGCGAGGGAATGGTGTGCATGCGTGTCAGGAGAGGGGAGGGGAGCGCGCGATGGATGGGGAGCCAGGGAGGTGATGCACCAGGGATCAGTGGTCAACCAGCAGCAAGAGCCAGAGCACTGTCACTTTTTCCACTTGGCATTTCCGCTTGCCTTGACAGCAATCCATTTGAGGGCCTCCTGGTGCTAACAGAGTGCTAAAACCCAATCAAACAGGCTCAAAGGAAAAAAGGCAAGACGCTCCGGCCCAGCCTGCTTCCACTTGTGTGAGCAGTTCACCTCTAGCTGACCCGTTCAGGCATTTTAAGTAAGCCATGCACATCATGAACATCACAAAAGTCACACTGTGGGACCAAAAGACGGCCATGTGTCTGTAAAAGCAGAGGAGTGCTATTTCAAATCAAAGAGGACTTCATGTTGGCCTTTACCGAGGTGGAAAAATGTGAGGAGAATGCTATTTAGAGGGATTATGGAGGGAAATTTTCAGCTTGTTGACCACAACTCTAAAGGACCAAATGAAAGCAAAAAGGTGTAATTTAAGAAAATGTCCTCATCATCAATGAAGAAGCAGTGCTGGACAATGCTAATGTGAAAAACTCATTATCCGGCCATCAGTGAAATATTCCACCTTCACAATGCTAAAAGAATTATTGTGTACTGCTGACTGGACTGGCCGTGTTATGTAAGGCACTTAAGCAAATTAACAGAACAATACTTTGAATTTATAGCTTTATATTGCTCTTTATACATAATGATTAATGGGAGACTGGAAACCTCTGCAGAAAGGGAGTTTAGGATTGATATCATAATTTGATAGACTGACTGCAGTGGATGCCACCTAGAAGGAGCTGTTCAAGTTCAGCAAAAGATCAGAGTGAGTTAGAAAGCATAATGAAATGGCATCTGTGGATGCTGTGTTGGACAGCGTCCACCGTCCCCATTGGTTGCTTTAGTTTTTCGTAACTCTCCTTGAAATGTTTGGTGAGAATGTAATTAGCTGGCACTGGGCAGGCACAGGCACTCTCATCTGAGACCAGCTTCCCTGTTTTTCTCTTCTCTTTCCCATGTGTGTTGTTGCACACAGTATTAACTCTGACAAAATGGTAATTAATATTTCCCCTCTATTGTTGAGTTTGAGGAGAGGATGCCAGGGAGCCAGAGAAGGGCACTGCCAGCCTGGTCGTCTTGCCAGCTTTTTATTTTATCTGTGAGAAAAGTGTTTTTCAGGAAGCCAACAGAGCGTTGCCAAAAAGAGGGAAGGAAGGATGGATGGATAGATAGATGGATAGATAGCCCTTAATTGTGGAACTTTGTGTAATTTCTTATGAATAAAACATAACCCATATATTTACTATCATTTATTTATTTTTTGGGTTTCAGAAAGTGGGGGATGTGGTCAGGACCACCAAAGAACCACTACAATCAGATGGTGTATGAGAATGGAGAACCCTGCTGGCAGGGAGGTGCACGCAGTACAACAGTAAGTACACACAAACACTTAAAAGAGCCATACAAACGGTCTCACAGCAGTGGGAGGATTTCTTCTGCTGCTAAAGCCATCGATCTTCAGTCAGAACATCAGTAGTTGGATCTTTGAACTCCTCAGACCACATATCCAAGTGGCCAACAAAAAGCGCTCAACATTGTCCCCGGTGCCATCATTGTGGTGAGTTTTAAAAGAAAAGGAAAGCTCTGATTGATTTTCAATGGCTTTTGAGTAGTCAATAGGACTTGAAAGATGTCAAATACATGACAAATACATGATGTCAGTTTTTTATTAGATTAAGCAAATACCCCAACAATCGTAATATGTTCTCTTTATGAAGACAGATAAGTACTGGTCAAGTTTTAAACTTGCCTTAACAGGGAAATTTGGAAATTAAACCCTTTTTGGGGAAGAAATTATTCTGCCAGCGAGGGGAAAAAAGATTAATTAATGAAAAGAGCTCTAATGAATTTAGTAATGCGGCAAATCCAGTTTAAAAATGAATGCACTTGAGATAACTGTAAAAATGGGACATGAACTGAGGAAAAACTGAAGAAAGCAGCTCTTCTCTCCACATTAATCAGGGACTATTTAGGGCCTTTCTGCAGTTTACATGCCTATTTCTGCACTTGTGGATTTCAACAACAAACCCTCATTCAATCGGTTAAAAAACATTCATTTCTCACCCGTTTGTCAGTCCACATCGACATTTTACGGTTAATGTGGTTCCTTTTGGACTCCTGTAGTGATTTATCCTTTCCTCTTCTCCTACGCTCAGTACCCCCCCTTACTTTTTTAAGTCACGTTTATGAGATCCATTTACATTTTCTGTGAGAATTTGCTCAATTAAAAATGTAGCACATTTAATCATCTCATTTTCTTTGCCTGGCCTCCCCTTCAAATCAGAGTCCAATAAATGTCGTCTGTAAATGTATGTACTCGTGCCATCCAGGGGCCCCCTTTGAAAAGACTAAATTAAATTCCTTTGATACGACCCCCTAGCCGCATGCAGGAAGCATAAATGAAGTCTCATCAGAAGTCGGCGCTCATTATATTTTAAATGCTGAAACCCAGCTTTGGGTAGTGCACTGCACTCGTTTCTTTATACTCGAGTAGGGACCAGTGATGCATTGTTTTTCTGGTGGTTATCCAGAATCAAGCAGTGTGCAGTTAATCTCATAAATCCGTGGGGAAGGGGGGAAGTCAACTGTTTAATTTATTAATTAAATTCTGTGACTGTGGCTGCAACATGTGAGCATTGGCTACCCTTACCACAACGCTGGGTGCAGAGTCTAGTCCAGCTGCTCACATTGTTTTGTGGGTTAGCTGGCCCTCCATGGAAGGAATCAGTCTATAATTAAACATTTGTCTGTTCAATTAATACGTTTTACACATAATATATATCACACACATATATATATATATAAGTGTAAGACGGTATCTGAAATGACCTGTTGTGTTAGAGCCACAAATGGTATCTTTGAGCATACCAAGATGGATTATTTTGCTAAACCCACAAGAAAAGTCTTTGTTTAATGTGCAAACTAGTATATGTTTAATTTTGGCAAAGTTGCAGCATCTGGGTATCTATCCAACAGCACACATCCTCTCAGAAGTTTCCAGACCTGTAAACACACCTGAACAAGCACAGTTAACAATATATGTTTAGGGAACAACCTGGAGAAGAAGTTGCACATTTTCTCATTTATAACAAAGCAGGACTCCTGCAAGTCAAGACAACTACAATTATGCACAAAAACAAAACTGACTAAGCAGCACACTTAATATCTCTGTGCTATAACTCACAAGGTGACATAACAAAAGAGCCTATTTTAATCGGACTATGGGACAAAACCAAATCACCAGCCTGAAACCTCAGCACAACAATACCTGTCAAGCTGCTGTCTCTGAGCCTCTCCAGGTACTTTTGTTCACCAGAGGGATTGTCTGTTCAGGGTGCAGCCTGATGTGAGCGTTGCTATGGAAACCACCTAGAAGTAGAATAAGTTTTTTTTTTTTTTCCTTCCAGTCTCTAGTAGCAGGCACCGGTGCCACCCATTAAAGTCATGACAGTGGTAATCATATCCTCCCTTGTCTTGTTCGTGTGGGGGTGACAGCGGTGACGTCCCATTATTCCAGAGTGTCCCATAAGCGCAGCGCCACTTTGGCTCTCGTGCATTCTGGTTGCAGACGTGGAAGCTTCTTCGTGGGATAGATTTAAATCGCAGCAAGTCCTGATCTGTTGAGCAAACTTTGCTCTTTTTGTTGCCACTTCTCAGAGACTAAAGGGGGTGAGGAGAATCCCTCGAACAGGGGGCAGAACCTCCGCAGTCATCTGCCTTTGTGATAGTAACTGCCTCCTGGTTAAAAATGACTCTTTCCCTCACACCACCTCAACTTTCCCTTCTTTGTGCTTTTCTAGGTCACTCTGACATGCGGAACGGAGACAGCCTTGCAATCAGTGAAGGAGCCGAGCAAATGCCAGTACGTCATGGACTTTCAGACTCCTGTGACCTGTCAGCCAGTGCTAAAGCAGAGGGGTGTACACAGTGAACTGTGACCCCCTTTCTCTTACCGGCTCTGCCTAGAATAACTTGGACCCCTGCCTCTCTTGGCCTGGCCGTGGTGACAGGCTGGGATCCTGAGGGTCTCTCTCTGACATCTGTGTTGTCAGAACGTATATACTTCCAAACAAGTTCGACTAAGGTCAGAATGTTTTTTTTTTTTCCCGTTTGCTTTTTTTGTGACACTTTTCCACGAACACTTTAGCTTCCATTGACTGTTCCAGTGTTACTCTGTCTCTCTGTGGACATATGGACATAGAGCATTTAGTGATCATAAAGCACATACGAGTATAGAGAATTCTTATCCTATATCCTTATAGTGTTACCATGTTATGGAAATGAATAATAAATACTAGATCAGTCTTAAGATCTTGAGCAAAAGCTGCTAATGTGAGTAGTATTTTAGATAAGTGTTTTTCCACTCAAACCAACCAAAAAATTCCACTGGACTGTAGCTATCTCATTATAACCTCACATGAATTGTCAAAGATAAGTTGGATGTTAATGCTGTGTTTTATTTTTGTTATAAAGTCCATCCAATGATCAAAACAAAAGAAGAATTTGGTTAAAAAAACACCCTGAGGTACATTACTGTACAGGCTGACAAGATTTGTAGTTTAGTTTAGTTAGTCATTTTTAGTCCATTCAATTCCATCATCATCAGCGTACAGCAGAAATAAATGTTCTCTGTTCACCACTGACATAATGTGTGATTAACCACAAAAATTAAAAAATAATCCAGTAAATAAAAGTGGATTTCCAAATGAGGAGAGAATGAGCAGTGCTCATTATAGAACCATCGTTGTGAGCGGGTGCCTTGGCCCCCAGTGAAGAACTCTTCAGGCTTTCTTACTGTAACGCAGCAGAAAAATCTAAATCTATGGACAGATAAAAATGACCTTGCCATGTGTTTCCTTTGTAGCATCGAAATTTGCTAAAAGCACACAGATGTTTACAAAAACATTTAACATCTTAAAAATATGAAATTCTATATTTTCCACTCGGAGCCACGCGTTTTTATCCTTAGTGAAAGCAGGAGACCTTGAGGCTGAGTGCCACCGAATGCATCAGCGGGGAAGGACTAAGAATATCCTTTTGTCCGTTAAGTTTGCTGTAATTTTCAGTAGTTTTACACTTTAAAAGAAGATGGAAGAATATTTGTGGATACCATGTGATAAATAAAACATAGAATGCTGTACTCAGCCTATTTTCTCCTTCAGAAAAGTTATTTTTTATACTTCATTCTGTCTTTAACCATTCAATGAAACACACATTCCTTTAAAACATATTAGGAGTTTAAAAGATTAATCATGATAGACCTGCAGTTAATGTCGGCGTATTACTAATTTGCGCTGTGCAGCCACATTAATATATAATCCTGCAAGTCTTTGACAAAATAAGCAGAGTTTCAGTTTATTTTATGTACTGTATATAACAGCCATTGATTTCCCTCAGATTCTAACAGCCTCAGCAGTCTGCTGCTTACTGTGCATGCTGTTTGTGATGTTGTTATGTAACAGATTGTAGGGTTTCTGCAGCAGAGCCCTCTTCTCATTAAGGGGGAGCTAAATCAGCTGTCAGGTATCCAATAGGCTGCCTGATATATTCCTGTCCTGCTGGGGCAGCTGGGTGGCTGTTTTCCTGCTACCAGTGCAATAGCCTCAGGCTTGGTAGCTCAGGGACTGCTGCTTTTTATTTCTCTGGCCTCAGCTCCCATCCACATGCTCTATTTGATGGTGAATCTAACCGTTTGCCTTCACTCTGGATAATGGTCAGCTTTGTCTGGGGTGCAGACCAAGTTTGATGTCCAACATTCCTGAAGCAGCTCTTCAAAACTGACACGAGTGAGTGCAAAGAACCCAATGGGTTCAAGTCATCTACCATAAAACTCCTCATGTAAATATTCCCAATCAACCAGCTAGAATGTCAAACGAAAAGGAAAAATATATCAATGTGGAAATAATCCTTTTGATTTGCGACAGTCTCACGAAAACAACAAAACTGTCTTTTAAAAAAAAAAAAAAAAAAATCTCTCCCTAAACCGACATTTCAGCTAGGCAGCAGATGCCAGAGCTGATGTCAGCGCACAAACACTGAGCCTTCACAGGCTCTTGACTCTGCCAACAGCTGGAAAAACTGCCAATCACCCAGACGGTGTCGGGAGCAGCACTCTGTCTGTTAGTGCAGAAGTCAACCTCACATCTCTGGCATCTGGAGAAAAACTTCCCTCTGCCGCGCTGCCATATGGCGGCCGTGTGATTGTGTCTCATGGAGAACTTTTACTTGATAAAACATGCTCCCACAAAGGAGCAGATTTGACAGTCTGCAGGGTATTAACAGCTCCTCTCTTTACTGAATGATCATCATGTGTTAAATTACTCGGGCGCTTCACCCCGCACAGTGTGGGTGGGAACCACGTTGGAAGATTTCATTGGAAATTGACAAGTTATTAAAAATACACACGCGCAAGTAGCTGTGTGCGCTTCTGCACTGCCTCTCGTTTTTACCGCGTGGCCAATGATGTGTTGCTCCAGATCAGAAAAGGGAAAGAGGGAGAAGTGGGCAGGATTCAGTGGGGAAACAGTGGAGTGCACACACATACACACCTTCATTCGGCACATTTGCACAATCGAGGGGCAGGGATGGGAAGACTTTCCAGTAGAGCGCGGGCGTATTTGTGTGTTGACTCCAAATTGCTAAAAGGGCCCAGAGGCGTTATATTGCATTAAATCTCCGAGTCAGCTTTGGAGAAAGTAGTTCAAGGTACTGGTTCTCCAGAGTGGGAGACAGAGCGGCCCTCGCCTGACCGACTGGCCGCCTGACGCCTGCCACTGCCCGGCGCCGGTTTCACTCTTTTGGATTGAGTTTTTAAGGTCTCCCCCTTTAGAGGGGGGGCAGTTATATCCTCAGGGCTGAGAGGGGAAAGAAGAGCCCAGTCTGAGCAGGAGTGTCGCTCCATGTCACGACGCTTCACAATCAGCCTGTAGACCACATCTGTGTTCCCACTTTATTTAAAGGCTCTTGGCTTTTTTATACATTAGATACAAAAATAAAGCCTGCGCTAATTAATTATCTGCTCGGTGACTCAGTGTTGTGCTGCAGATTTTCCACAAATATTTAAAGATTTACTTCTGAGAGATAGAATGATAACCATCTTTGTCTGAGACCATTGATGATATTGCATGATAAAAACAACAGAATAAATATATAATTGAGATTAACAGATATTTTGTCAAAAATAATTAGTAAAGTACTAACACACAGAGCTATCTGTTTAAAATGAGTTTTTCAGCACTGTCAGTTTTGGGAACTTGATGAATGCGAGTCAAAAAGTTTTTCATTGAAAGGAAGTGTCCAGAAAAAAATTGGCTCAGCTTCGAAATATCTACAGATCAGGTCACTTTCCACCGCAACTTTAGCTGCGCGACGAAGCAGACAAGTCTATTTTCTGAATCAGAAACTGCAGACAAAAGTGTTCCAACAACTAATGAGCAGCTGCTTTCTAACCATGCAAAGCCTTGACCTGCAGTTCTCAAACGTATAACCTACATGCACGTTGTTACACATCCCCCGACGCTCGTCTGATGGGTATTTTGCGGTGGCCCAGTCCATCCTTCCTGCTTCTAACAATCTTGAAATCTTCTTAATCCAAACGTTGGTTTGAGGAGGATCTGCTGCCACAAACATTAGTGTGTTTACTGTGGGCTTCGCGGGCGCCAGACCTGGATTTTCTGTGTGTGCCGACACAGCACAGGTGTGGGCGAGCCCGAGATGTAGATGAACAAACAGTAATATTGACAGGAGGATGAAAGAGGAAGAGACAGTCAGACGAATGAACGTCGGCAAAGACAAAACGACATGCAGTGGGGAAAGCCGAGTGCGAAGAGAGAACCCAGGGAGGAGGAGCAGGGAACGAGAGGGATGTGGAGCTGGGGGTGGAAGAGGGGGGTTTAAAAGCAGCGCTGGCAGTCCACCGGAGGGCCAATGTTTCTGTGTTTGTGCTGTCACGTCAGCGAGCGGGGCTCAACACTTCCCCCGTGGAGTGGAGGAGTGTAAGCGTGTCGCGGTTGGAGGCTGGAAGGCCGAGCTGTGATAGCATGTGGTTACCAGGAGCCTCCCGCAGCCGGCTCCTAACAGTGGGGGAGGCTGGTTGAGAGGACGATCGGGGCCATAAAAGACAGGGAACGCATGGGGATCGCTCCTATAAATCTACATAGAATCCACAGAGGGTCTTCCCAGCGAGGAGGCACATTTACTGCCTGAAGATGAGTCATGGCGGCTTTAATCTCAGTGTGTACCTGGTAATATGCAAAACCTCAGCTCCGGCAACAATGTAATAAAGCTCCAAAGTAAAGATGCATTGCTCAAAAAACATGAAGGGGGATGATCTGATTTATCAAACAAGGACAGACAGCGTCGACAAAAAGGAACAAACACCGGTTACAAATTCAAATTACCCACCGGGGATATGATGGAGATCAGCAGTTTTAGGAGCCGCTGCTAATTTGCATAAAATCTAATAGTGTTGTACCTTTGTTGCAGTGTTGGCTGTGAGGATTTAGTTTGTTCAAAGAGTAATCAGAGAGCAGAAACTCTCTGTCTGCCTTTGGTTGCTCTGGTGTTAGCCAGTGTAGTTTTTGTTTTTCTCTTGGTGGTACATAAGGCTGTAGAAACATGGAGGAAATGTTAGGAAAGACTCGGACCCGTCTCTTCATCTTTAGATGAACACAAATGTCATTAAAGTTCCAGCTTTGTCCCTTTTGTGCAGACAGTGCTGACCTGGTCCGGAGCCATCAGCTCCACGTAAATTAAACCGAGGACGGACTGGAACTTGATGGACTGTGGCATCCCAGACGCTTTCCTTGCCCTTCTGTGGCTGCTTCTCCCTCTGCAAATTGTTGTTTTTTCCTTCTTGTAGCCCCCATTAGGATGATAGATGAGAAGAGATGCAGAGTGGATGGTTAATCTTCCATGGAGAGAAAGACCAGAGAGGGGG